CCCAGCACGCCCGCACTCGTACTGGAATCGCGTCCGCGGCGGTTATATCTGCCTCCAAAAATTGGATCAGAAATCAAAGTGGAGCACACGCTTTCGCCTTTATTTGCCGAAGTAAATGGAGGGAAGCATGCATATAAAAAGACACTTCGAATGCTGAAAATTGAAGCGTATTCTTGTAAGACGTTTTGCTGCAGCGATTGCAACAAACGTGTATAAATATTTTATTTGTGAATAGTTTCATTTGTAATAATTTTATTGAGTGGAAAGAGAAATTAACAAAAATATACCGCGTATATAATAAATAGCGGTGATAGATGGGGAATGCCGTCATAACTCGACCGCTTTCATTTACTATACGAATAAATTTACATGTATGTTTATTCATATTGTGCGAAATGCACATAATACTTCTCCCTCTTTTGCCGAATGCGAATATATTATATTTCTGACGTTTTAGTATACGGCATTTGTTATTCGGCGATGATTTATAATCGCCACGTGATATGCGAGACCGGAAAAAAGACCGTTAGAACAGAATATACGTTTTAAATGTTATAGTTTATAGAAAAGTGCGTTTCCACCCGCTATCTTAATTCTCAATTCGATAAGAGGGATATTTTCAGGTGTCCTCGAAATATCGTGGAATAGTGACGCTTTATACATATGTATATATATATATATATATATATAATACGCGGCGGGGAAGTATCGGAGGGTTGCGACGTCAAAATGCGTGTGTGTGCTTGCGCAACCGCGCGTGCGCACGCACGCGTGCACGACACATCGGCGCGCAACACGGATTTCTTGCTTTTTTTTTTCATTTCGCTCGCTCGTTGTTCCCGCGATCGCGTGCGAGGAGGTGCAAAGTGTTTCTAAACAGACAGTCGGCCGCTGACGTCTATTTTTCCTGTTTGCACGAACAACAACGTGTCGGAAACGTATCGCCCCGGTTTCTCATAATCAAGCTGTTAGCGTCACGTCGTTGGCGATGGTCCGCGATTAACTTGTTGTTAGAGAGTAATCAACGGGGTCCCCCCGTCGAAGCCCGGCGTGAATTATAGCGTATAGCGATAAACGATTGATAACGCGCGCGCGGCGCGGCCGGCGGCTTGCGCGAGTAAGTCGGGGGAGAGAGAAAGAGAGAGACGCCGCGTGCTGCGCGATTATGATAAGGAGGAAATTCCCCGCAAACACACGCACACGCCATGTGTGTTGGCCCGCGTGTGTGTCAGCTCATCACGACGAAATCGGAGATGTGATCGAAATTCAGCTGTACAGTTTGCCGGCGGCAGTTAGCGTATCGATCGTGCCCGCGTGCGCGGAGATGAACGGGAGACAAATAATTAATCGCGGATAACTCGCAGACTGAGAAACTAAGGACGTATGGGCGGGCTATTGTTAACGCGATGGGCTCAGAAATCCAATTCTGGTTGGAGAGCGGGATAAAGGGTCGCTGCCGCCGCCGCCGCCGCCGCCGCCACCGTCGTCGCCGCCGCCGCCGTCGGGGGTGAGAACGCGATGCGTAAGAGACGAGGGGGAATCCAGGGGTTGTACTTCAGGACGTAGAGTTATTGACCTGCCGACGAGGAGGCTCTCTTGTTCGGGAGGAATGGCTGGGCAAGAACTTTCCCCGAGGTCGTTTGCGTGGCGCACGAGACGTCTCGTTGTCGTCGAGGCAGAACGTAGAAAAGAATCCAGCCAGCCGTTTTAATCGATAAAAAGCTAGACACAAAGCTGATCGCAATTTTATATCCATTACATCAGTTAACGTCCTAAATGTTTTTTATACGTTGCAACGATACAAACGTGCAAACTAATATTACGCGTTTAATGCTCTCCTTATTTTATCGATAATGTTTCAAATGTTTCGCGATTGTTCAGGATCTCGTTTTTTTTTTGCCACCTCCCAGATCCGATCGTTCATTGCGTTTCCATAAATATTGCCACAAATTAGTTTGATCGTTGGATATTAAATCGCCTCTTCCCTCGGCCGTCTTTTTGCCTTTTCTGCCTCGCATTTCCGATCAATCAGCCTAACGACCCGCATCGGCAATGACAACGAGCTATACGATGAAACGTTCACTTCGACGCGGGGGAGAAGGATTCTCTCTCTCTCAGAAGGAGACATCACTTTGTCTTGTTAACGCTACATGACGATGCATATACATTGAGTCTTGTTAATTCTTCGAGAGTGTCCTTCGAGGGTTTCCTGCTGCGTTGTCTTGTACATCTCTTGTCGAACCGTCCCCCGCTGAACAGTCCTCTCGTCCTAAAAAGAAAAATATTTTCCCGCAGACTCGCGTTTAAGAGAAAACTGCATTTTCTTTTTCTCAATGAATTCCGGTGTTCCATTCTCCGGCGTCGACGCGTATAGAGTGGAAATGTACAGAATGACAATGGCGATTTGATATGCACTTTCGAATACACAGAACGAGCGGGCGGTTATTAGAATAATTAAAACTGTAATGGATCCCTTTATTGAGTGAAAGCGACCGAGCGGGGCGACGCTTGATTATTTCGTCGCGTTTATGTAACACACCGTGGAAATATAATTGCCCGCCGTATTACGCCGTGGGTATCCAATGCCTTACACACACATATACACACACACATACACACACTCACACGCACACGCACGCACGCGCGCACGCACGGAGATACACACATGTAGGAGATTTGCAATGACACTCTGTTTGTCATGCAAGCGTGACAGAGTGTCGGTCGTAAAATCCTCGCCGCGGCGTGACCGTAATGGACTTCTCTCGGTCCGCCGTCTAATACCACCGTCGCTTTTTCTGCGAGCCGCAAAAGTGTAACCAGCGTAACCACGAGGCCCCCATCGTCGGTTCAAGTTCCTCCCGGCGATGAGGAATTATCGTCGGATCAGTGAAAGCATATCACTCCGCACATCGACACGCGGATCTAGAACGCGAGAGAAAGAGAGAGAGAGAGAGAGGAGGAGGAATTAAATACCATAATCGTAGAGCTCATTTTAGATACGCGATCTTTTCCGCAATTTGTACTGTTTTGCACAAATTTGCAACTTACAAACCTTCGCTATTTTGCGGAAGATTTCGCGGTCGCATTAAACGAAATTTAGTTGGAAGTTATACTTCTTTGCGAGATAATAACGCGCGGCGCGTTCGAGAATTTTTCTCTTTTGAGGAAAATCGGGGGAAAGGTTCGTATACAACTGCAGTTATTAGAGTGTTTTACACGCTTTAAAGGATTAGGAAAGGAAAGCGCGTGAAACTCCTTGGGCGATATTCCCTGCGCGACCGCCGCGGGGAAAGAAGGAAATCATTTTTCACACCTGCGAGCTCGGCCGCCGCGCTCTCGTGGAGCGGCCGTTATAAAAGCTCAGAGGTCAATCTTGGACGACCCAGCGCGCGCCCGAGTAAACGCGATCTTCCGCGTCGCGATTAATTTTCTCGCGAGCTCGCCCGCCGCTCTCGTGTATACAGGTAGATACGCGCGTCTCCTCTGACAAGCCGACACGATGAGTTGAAACTGCGTAAACCTCGTACGTGTAGGTACTAGTAGGTTATCGTAAGCGCATCACACCGCGCCGCGGACACGAGGATAGGCATTAGTAAATCACAGACACGAGTCTAATGCGAGTCTAATGAGAATCGACGGACGTACGGGGTAGGGATATGTAAGAGCGAAATGTGCCTCGTCGTCGGCTCGGTAATGCGAACGGAGACGATCGTTAAATCGTCGGACGTATCGGCGTATACCTGCCTATCGGCGAGGACTCTCCGGCGAAAGGGGGATCGACTCTAAATTATCTAAAATCGATCCGTAATAAATGCGAGAAAGTTATCATTCTCTCGGATTCTTTCTGTGTTTCCTCTGGCCATCAATCAGAGTCGAGGTGCCCAACGTCTGTTCGCGTCGCGTTCAGACTCGAACGCGAGGCTCCTCAACTCGTCGGTAATACTTTCCCTTCCCTCGCCGAGCGACAAGAGGCGCGTATACGTATAAAAGTTTACACGCAAAATCACTGCCCGCCCGTCCGTCCGTCCGCGCGATATTTAATGCAACTCGCCGCGCGATTACGAGATCGCGCGCCGCAATTTCACGCGGTCGCGAAACAACACCGATGCGTTTCACGCGCTCTCTCGCCCTCTATATATATGCGGGTACGATCGCACGCGCTCGCCTCCGCCAATTATACACTGAGAGAAAAGTTTAGTATGAACAACCAAAATTTTGTTACTGATACCAAAACTATGTGTTGATATGTGACCAACTAAACTAACACGTCGATATTAATTCGTTGAATTTATTGAATAAAATTACCAAAATAATTACATTATTTTGTTGAACTTACTAAAAGAAAACTTATTTTGTAATTGCAACCCAATTTTATATTACTGTGTACAAAATGTGAGTAACCAAATAAAATTGTGTTGTTAAATCAAAAATTATACCAAATTTTGCTTATTTAATTATATATTTTGCTATTTTAACAAAATTTTAGAATAAAACTTGATTTTTGTGAATAATTCTCTGTTTTTGTTACCATTAGTATATCTTTTCTCTCAGTGTACCGGTCGCTCGGTCGCTCGACTACGACTGACAAAGTTGGACGAAGCGGTATAGGTGACGATGGCCGAGTAATCACGCTAATCGATCCCACGTTCGTATTCGTACTGTTGTAACGCTTCGCGCGATTAGCATTCGCGACCGGATTTCTGTACGACGTATAGAAATATAGGCGCTTCTCAGCCCGCGTCCACGTATCTGTGACTTATTCACGTTAGCTGCAACATTTGATATTCTTTCGCGATATATCATTGTAATTTTTTGTATTATAATTTTTAAGAGTCATTGTGCAGTGAATGACACAAAGGAGAAAAAAAAATATAAACGGCGGAACTTTTCTACTCGTTAGTCTCTTAATTTTTTAATTAATTTTGTTTAAAAATGCCTTTCACATTCGATCCATATTTACGAATAAGATAATTAACCTTGATTTTTTTCTTCTGTTTCAGCATAAGATCGACGAGAAACCTGATATACAGTTCCTAAGAAATGAAGGGGTGAGTAAAAGCAAATTTCCTTTCTTTCGACTTATGATCGTCAAAACTCGTGCGAGAGAGTTTACGACATTGAGTCACGACATTTGACGCGTTATCGGTCGATCACGTGGAAAGATAAGAACAGATTAGAAATAATAGGATGAATGCGGAATCGCAAAAACAGTGTCACCGAGATTTTAAATTTTCCATTAAGAGGAAAGAAGAAAATTTGTCCACGTCCGCGTGTGGAAAAACAACATCTACCTGTTTCTTACATCTTAGAACGTTTGCCAAAACTATTAACTATATAACGTACGTTGCACGTAAGCCACCGTGTATCCTTGAAAATCGTGTTTAGTTAGCCTGTGACGTTAGCGCACGATGACAATACATCAATGATTTTTTTCTCGATTTACGATCGTGAGACGTATAGAGACGTAGTTTAATCGTATGCAGGCGCTCTCGGTTTAGCCTTCTCGTGAAACAACCTGTACACTCATTCCCGCAGCTTCTGCGGTCGAAACGGATCAGACGACGGTAAAAGGACCGTCGGATTTCGCCGGTTGCTTTAAAATCTTGGTACAAATGTCGGAGCGGTGGGAGTCGTAGAGCCGAACGGAGAGAAGAACGGAGTGAAATTTTCTTTCGGCGAAAAAAAAAGTGAGAGTGAGAGGTGTGCGAGTGTGCCCCCGTCGACGCACGTCGGCGTTTTTCTCTTAATTTAACCAACGCAATAGCTGACACGAGTCATTAAATTATTTAGCAATATTTCGTTCTCGCGTTCCTCGGCTTCGTCGCGTTCGCGGAAACTAAAAAAAAAAGAAAAAAAAAGATCTATCTCTTCTGTATCATTTGCAGATGTGTCTCATTGTATTACAATTTTTTATTCGTTTATTTGAATATCTTGCGCGTCACATCATCGTGACGATGCACGGGTGTATCACACGAAAAAAATCTCGCGACGGTAGCGCGACTTATACGCGCAACCGACGTCAAGAGCTCGATCTCCCAGCCGGCCGAGCGGTCGCAAAATTACGTGTACGTATATATATATATGTGTATGTGTGTGTGTGTGTGTGTGTGTGCGTGCGTGTGTTGGTCACGGCTCCACACACACATACACACTGGAGGTTTCCTCGGCGAAGGCGATCGAGGTCGTCCGAGCAAGGTTATACACCATTTTCTCTCGCCGCCGCCGCGCCGCCGTCGCCGATCGGTCTCTTAAACCTTCCTAAACTCCGCGAATTATCGATACTTTTATCATGTAGAAAAATAAAAAAATATATATATATTTGCAGTCACATTATTTCGCACGTGTCATTTTATTTAGCTTTAATTTGTATCAATTAAATTTTAAATTAATCGTAGCACATTAACGGGAACATTCTTCAAAGAGCTTAATTGGATCGGATACATTATGATAGGAAGAAAAAAAAATTTAAGCACGTTAATTAGGTATACATTTTCGAGTTAATGGTACGGCATTAACGCTCCTTATATAGAAGTTTTTATATGTAAATATTCTATATCTCTAAAAAAAAAAACTATAATTAATTTGCGTTAATTTATCATGTTGACGCACAGTTGGACTCGATTTTAACCAAGCTTGCAATTGAACCGAAGTTGATGAAATCAACCTTTTTATCCACTTGATAAAAACTTAGCTATCGACGCGCGTTACGACTTTGTCGGATTGTTTGTGCTCGCTCGAAGAAAAAAAAAAGTGGCCTTCGCGGGCTGGGCGATGCTTAAAAAGAGTGATCGTATACCACGTATAACTGCCATATGCCACTGGCGTTCCTTAACGACAGCCAGCGGCTGATTGTCGATACGATATCTCTCTCCTCCCGGTGATCTAGAGGTAATTGACCTGCTCTCCTCGTCCTTCATCGGCTTCCCCTTGCTCTCGTGGGTGTGGTCGTCGTTATATCGCCCGCCTGCATCACAACGGATCCGCGCCCGAGTCAAATTCGACAAGATGAGTCTGTCGTCAGTTCCAACGAGATCAAAAGAAAAAGTGCATTCCATCGGTCGAGAGAAAAAAAAACAGAGATCAAGAGCGTCCGTACTTTACTGCTCTTCGTCACAGACTCGTTGAACTGTAATTCTCAATTGATTTCTTCTTATACGGATATCGCTTACGTGATTAATCTCGAATCGCAATATCGTAATCAATCCTTGAAACTTCGTGTCGGTAAGAAAACGATGACTTATCCGTTGCTGAATCCAGACGAATATACATGGGGAAATACAGAGAGGAGGTGCGCAATAAATTCTGCAATTGGAATTTTAAAATTTCCCAGGAATCTTCGACTTGCATTATTCATTCCTTTCTTTGCCGTTAGTATTTCAGGCTAATAGGCAACTTCACACACACACACACACACACACACACACACACACACGCACACACGCACACACACACATTTTCCGGGCAATCGGGCGAAAAAGTCATCATTTTCCTTCTTCACCTCTCCATTCATTGCCATTGAGAGATGCAACACCCCGTTCTATTCTATTCTGACCTTTGACAATCTTTTTACTGTTAAAAATTCTGAAGATCAATGCGTCACCGTTGACCTTTGCGCAAGTAGCTATGGCGCTATAACGCCTTAGGGCCCACATTCGATGCCGTTGTCTGGAAATTTATCTCTTAAGGACGACTCGTCACGAGCGTCGTTTGGCGAATCCCCGGGGGGAAACGCAGCAGAATGCATAGCGATAATTTTCCAATAGCACACGGTTAAACATTTCAGTTATAAAAGCCACTATAATTTATTACTTGTTTGTTATAGCCGATAATTTCTTACAACATCTCATTTATCCTAACGATTGGCTCTATTTTTTTTTCTTGGGAAAATAAAGATGTTTGCAATTTTTTAAATAAGCTTCGATTTGATTAATCGCAACACATATACACGCATGTATATTTAACGAATAAGGGAAAATTCACTGGATATATTGTTTCGAACTACGATCGCGCGACAACCCCCCGATCTTTTTCCATCTTTCTTTATTTTCCGTTCCGGGGCCACGGGTGCCAGGAACGCGGAGCGATTATTCCAGTATAATTCGCCGTTTAGCGGACGTCCTTGTCGCGACTGACGCACTCAGGGAGAACCGATCTCCGCGCGCGCTCGGGCCTTCTCCATACACCCGTCTGGATCGTGCAAGCAAGCAGGCGCAGCGCAATGTGTATTGTGTATGTGTGTGTATCTGTGTATGCATACACAATGCGATTTCATGTGTACAGCAGCAATGCTCGGCACGATCGGGCACGATACGTGCGCGACAATCGACGATCGGGCCTCCCCGATACGTAGAAACATACGACTTTGACACGTATATATCGCGCCATATCCTCTCTCCTCCCCTGTATCTCTCTCTCTCTCTCTCTCTCTCTCTCTCTCTTTTTCTTTCTCGATCTCGCTACTTGCCTTCTCGTGTAATTTTATCATGAACGTGGAGAGTCTCTGTATTTATATGAGACACGGTTTCGCGATAGCGCGCAACGGCGATTTTTTTTCCGCAGATTCGTGTGCGTCGATAGTTGCGCACGTGCTCGATCGTGTATTATGTATATATGTCTATACGTGCGAACGCTCGCCTTCACATTGTTGCCTTTCACTCGGTTTCTTAGAGCACCCGCTTACATATACATATACATACACTTATGTATACACATATTATATATATATATATATATATATATATATATATAATACATATATAATATATATATAAACATATAAATGTAGATAACATAAATGTAGATGTAAGTTCTACTCGGGAATAGCGCGTTACTGCTAGCATTACCTCGACGCTGGGATGTCGGAGAGTACGGAAGAGCGCATTCCGCGAATTCGTCAGTCACATGGATACGTTCTGACAGAGATCCGGAAAGCGCTCTTTTCCCGGTAATTCCTCGCCGTACGGAAAAGACGGGTTATCGCGAACACTCCGATCTTCTTCGAAGAGCGCTCTGGCAGGACATTCTGCAGCTTCAATTATTCCGCGACGAAGTGCGAGCTTATACATATATATGTTATTCGATGTTTAATGTAAGATTTCGGTTACTTCGCAACGAAGGTTATCATTCGCGATAGTGGCTCGAAACTCTGTTGTTCGAGTTTCGAGAAATTTCTCCGTTTTATCCACTGGATGTGTCCGATCGATCGGACATTCGATCCAATCATGGGTGATTTTGTAAACTTTGTTTTCACCGATTGCACAAGTGCGCAAGGCAGTGGCGTGAGTCAACTCTCATTACGTTATACGTGGCAAAAAAAAAACTTTTACAATGTAGAATGCGGTTGTTTCTTTCCTGCGGCAATAACATTGTCGGGCGAGCGGAATCGAATCGGATTAAAGCTGAGAAAATCAAGCATCTCCGGAAAGACATTATATATACATAATAACGTTCGAGCGTTAAAAGTAACGGCCGCGCGCCGCGTTTAAATGCACAGCGAGCAAAATATGCGGAGCAATGTTCCAGTGGCGTAATCCTTTTAACTTGTGTCGAAAGAGAGAAAAAAAAGACTAGAGGACGGATGACGTTTGATCCGTCAGGGACGAATTAACGAGGCGGAAGGTGTTTCCTCGGCGCGTTATTGTCTCCTCGGCGTGAGCGTTTATATATTCCTTGAGTTCCCGTATAATCCACATATGTAACACGCGTATGTGTAACACGTACGGTAAGTGTACACACGTTAAATATACACACGGTTTTTCCGGCCCGAGGTGGTATTGCATCGCGCCGCGGTCAGTCGCGACTGACACGAAACGTCGCTGCCGTAACAGTTACTTTTACGTGTGACCCACTTGCCATTCTAGTAGTCGAATCTAAGTATCATAATGCGAAGTGGGACGTCCTGAAATCGCCGGTGTGGCGAGCCGACGCAACCCTAAAACGAAGGTCGTCCGCTCGGATGGCGGCATTCAGAAGGTCGAGCGTGCGCGATCTCGCACGAGTAGGTAACGCGTAGAAGACACTCTTTTTTTTTTTTATGCGCGTCACGCGC